ATTCTCAATTGTGTACAGGCGCATTTGAGATCTTCATTTTATTGCATCTGTACAGGAACAATTCAGACACCAAGGAATGTATGGTTATATTTGACTGACAACTGCGCCACTTAACACATACTACCATCACTCAAATCAGGTCGAGGATATGTCTTGCATGTGGATAAAAATGGGAGTAATGATATGCGAAAAGAGGGTCTTTAATCGTCTTAAAAAAACAACGAGACAAGAAGAGATTACGTCACTCATAAAAAAGACGAACTTTTGAGGTGCTAACGAGGAGATCATCATCGTAAAAAAGGGTCTCAACAACAACGTTTCCACTGAAATAAATTGCGTGCACATTGAAAATTGCGATGCAATGGAAGTTCTCTCACCTGAGTAGAGATGCCGGCAACATTTGCGATTCAGGAGCAGCTTCAATTAGAGTTTGCCATGTATTTGTGGAGTCCGGGATAACAAATCCAAATTCGAAAAACCACTCTAAAGTGTAATTTAAAAATGAGAGAATCGATAGATACATTCTCATATAACATTACCAAAGAAGTGCAATTTTTACACTTTGATTTTTCAGGCTGAGTTGAGTACTCATTAGATTTCTCATAAGGTTTCCTTTAAGGGGTTTTATAAAATCTGTTGAGAATTACATTCTCTTCAGCTAAGTGCAAAACATGACTTTCAGAAGATTGCGTGCCTTCCATCTTCTCTATGACTTTTTTTGATATAGCGTTCATGAAAATGTATTCTCAGAGTATGAGTCAGGGGATGAAAAAATGAAATTCGCAACTTTCTATAAGTTTTGATTATACGAGAGAGTACGCGCGTGTCCTCAGCCCAACTACTCAGTTCTGCCACTTATTCGTTCGTACATGGGCTATGGTTACTATAGCTACTTCTGGCTAATCCACCATTCAGCCTTCATCACTAATCCAAAACCAAATGATTCCTGGCACGCAACCTTGACAGAACGGTTGAATAACAAACAAGCCATTAAGCAAGGATCAAATATGATGATTATATATGATTACGTAAAGACTGACATCCCTACCTTCTATGATGTTTTCTTTCAGAAATACTCGTTGTTCTAGGCGGAACTTATCAATCTTTTGAGCAGAAGTGAAATTGATTTCTCGCGAAACCGTGCGGCATTTCAGGATGCTTTTGGGAACATGTGCTGGAGAATTGATATGGACTGCATCATAAGATTAATGGTAAAGTTAAAGCTCACCTTCATGCACACAGTTGGGATCAGCCATATCTTCGGTGCTCTGCCATAAAACTTTACCACTTTCCGCATCACGCAAATTCATCCAATTTCTAGGGAAAAAATCACTCTTTCGCAAACAATGAGCTCAAAACGCGCGTTTGAACTTACAATTTAAAACCGTGTAGAATACTGTCGGCCTTTTCGTTCATAATGTCCCTATCATCTCGTGGAGCAGCAGCTAACATTTTTGTTTGCAATGGTTCTTAGAAACCCCTACAAATTAATCTTGAAATGCTTCTAACGTAGAAGAATTATACAAAGCGGAAAAGATGATGACGCAAATGTTAAACAGTCGATCAGATCTAATGCAATCGTACTTCATATCAGCTTCACGAATGAGAAATCTTAGTCTGTAATATGAGAGCTTTGCTGACATAACTGCACACTTGCGCCAACTTTGGAATAACACGGAAGTAAACGCTGATACGCATCCAAAATTTCTGTTAGCGGACCAAAATTCGCTTATGATGCAGGCTTCTCTCAGCAATTGTTTTTTACGTAGGGAACGCAGCAGGAACTCGTGAGTGGCTGAGTAGAAGTGTTTGTTTGTTATTCCTCTGCGAGA